AGCAGGGAGCCCGATGCGGGACTCGATCCAGGGACTCCAGGATCATGACCTGAGCCGAAGGCAGTCGCTTAACCAACTGAGCCACCCAGGCGCCCCTCTTTCTGTAATTTTAGTCTCTTTACTGATATTCTCTATATAGTGAGACATCATTCTTATTCTTTCCTTTAGCTCTTTATACATGGTTTTCTTTAGCTCTGGGAATGTATTTAAAATAGCTGATTTAAAATCTAGTACTAGGGTAAACTAACGCATTACCAAGCTTGCTGTTCCTACCAAGGTTCTACTTGGTCTGTCTTAACTGAAGGCACTCTGGGTTGCTGCAGGCTTTTGATTAATTTCCAGAGTTCTGTGAAAGTTGATTCTGATAATATGTGGCAAGTTTTTCATTGCTTTTATGGAGGGAACGAACATTTGGTGGTTATTACTGGACCACTTTTGTTGACTCCTTGCTTGCATTTTGATTCAAACAAACTACAGAAAGATATTTTTGAGACAGTTGGCAAAAACTGAACACAGAATGGTTATTAGATTTTTAAAAACTTTATTTTGATGGCCAGGAAAATTGTATTAAGGTCACATATATTTTTAAAGACCTGTTAGAGCTACATAGTGGTATTTACAGTTTTCTTTGATTTGCTTTCAAATACTCCAGCTCACAAAAATTATATGTGGGAAGACAGCTATGAAATATCGGCACATGTTGATGGTTGTTCGAACTGGGTAATGGGTACATGGAGGTTCACCATTTTATTTTTGTGTTTGAAAATTTCTATAATAAAATGTTTCTTAAAAGATGAGGTGTACCCTTGGGTCCAAACAAGGATGCCTTGAACTGGTAAAAAATAGTTGAGCTCCTAACTGGCCTTGGGTAGAAGGGAGTAAAACAACGCCTAGATGATAGGCAGGGTGTGATATCGAGAGCATGAAGACTAAAGAGATAGAATCAATCTAGCATCCCCAGGGTAAAAGGACAAGTTATACCACAAGTGAAGACACGTAACCGTGTCTTGGTCTGGAAGGCAAATAAAGGTCAAGTCCGGGCTGCTCCCTAATCCTGACTCCCAAGTCCATGGTCTCAGCCACCATCCCTGCCACATCCCAGGGTGGTGGGAAAGATTGCTTTCCTAGGACTGGCCAAAGAAGTGTACCCCACCTGAGGCCATTCCATCTGGCTTGAACAGGACTGTGGTCAAGATCCAAAGCTGGAGCTACGCATGAGGTGACAGGCCTCCAAGGGCAGAGGCCTCCAAGGGAGGAGGTAGGTTTCTGACCTTCTAAGTGACCCACAGCCTTAAGACATCAGCTGGGCAAAGGGAGCACTCCCTGATGACCCCAGACTTCAGTCAGTGAAGCCCCAGTAATCTTAAATGACACTGTAAAATATGCACTTGTAAGACCTTTATACCATATTCCTATAAAGGAACTCAAACCCTGAGGGAGGGAGCATGGGAGATCTACCCAGAAGAGTTCCCACAGGGCAGGATAGTGAAGGCCTGGGGCACTGGGTGCTCTCACATTCAAAGCCCAAGGGAACCCTACCTGCCTGCTCTGCTGCCAGCTTTCCAAGTGGGGACAAGAGCCACCAGGGACCACAGGTGCCCCGTGGCCTTAGCGAAATGAATAGGGCTTGGGAAACAGGAACCAAAGGAAGGCAGTCAAGAACCTGCCATTCTTTTCCTTTCCCAAGGAGGAGGAGAAGGAAATATATTTTAAGACACAAAGAGCCCCTCGACTTGTCTTTGGACACAGCTGGGGGATCTGAACCTCCTCTGAAGCCAGGTTAGGAAAAGAGAGGCCGAGGGAGGGGCTGGGGCACTGCCAGGCAGAGGGCCAGCTGCCGTGGCCCTGTGGGAGGAAGCTAGCTGACCCCCTCACTGGCACCCCACTCCGGGGCACCACCGAATGAAGCCCTGTCAGAAAGGGGGACATGAGCTGACAGGTGCCTGAAGCAATAACAGAAAATCCTTAGCAGATCAGGGTCTTCTTGCGGCAGGAGGGCCGAGGAGAGAGTCCGAATGGAGTGGGGAAGGCGTGCACAAGACAAAGGGCCTGGGAACATTGCTACTCTGCTCGCTGTGTCATCACGACCACTGTGTTGGGCAGAGCAGGATGGCTCCCTGGTGAGAGGCAAGTCTGGCAGGTCTAGGAAGTACAGTCTGCGGGTCACTTTGGAAAATGAGGAGCCAGAAGATGCCACACACCTTCCATGTGAGGTGAGATTTGAAACCAGCACCCTGTGTGCTGCCACCCAGAGTCCCTCACTGAAGGTGCCCATGGCCCCAGGTCCATACTGCAACTACTCGATTAAAGAACAGCTTTATTGGTAACCTGACGGAACCAAGGTTACCTAGGTGGTGTCAGCCTGCAAGGCCTTCTCCAGGCAGGAAAACCAATCACACGATTCATGGGGGTTCCTGACAAGAGGTCCGATCTCCACTCCTAATCATAAGAAAAATTCCAAATCCTGCTTTCAGAGTGAACAAAAAGGTCGGAGGGTATCAGTCCCCCTGCTTGTGGGGGCTCAGGGGGCTGGCTGAGTTGTTCAGTAACATCTGCGGGGCCGCGCAGACAAGGTAGAAGCCAGGAATGCCACGGGAAATCGCTCCAAGACGAGTTTCCAAGAAGGTTCACACTTGGGCAGGGCACGGACCCTGGCCCTGAGATTGCACTTTGGGTCTGACGTGGGTCACCGAGTGGGCCTGGGTATCAGAGAACCCCGCCTGCTGGCCTCGGCATGTGGAGGCTCCACAGTCTGGGCTCAGCAGCGCCGCCACAGCCTGTCACATGTCTCAGCTCCTCAGTGCTGGGGCGTCCCCAGCTTCCTGATGGGATATAGGTACCACATCACCACCCCTGAGGGGTTGATGATCACTGTGAAGTTGGTTTTAGAGTGGAGGCCACTGATGACATCACCCGTGTAGACGTTCTGGGCCTGCAGCGGGAGGAGACAGCACCAAAACCACTATAAGAACAGCTGCACAGAGCCCCCCTCCGAGGGCTGGAAAGCCTGGACTTCGGCCTGTCTGTGGTGGCCTCTGGGGAGCCCCACAGAAGTGAGAGCCCTGCACCTCCCGTCACTTCTCCATTGGCAAAGCCAGCAGTGGCCCAAACACGCAGTGGCGAAAGCCCCAGCCCACGGCCAGCCTGAGGAACGTGCTGGCAAGGACTGACCAATAAGGGGACGCAGCCTCAGAGCCCAGGCCGCAAGTATACAGAGTAGTTCTGTTTGCAGAGCTTGAAAACACCAGTGCCCAGAAGGGTACCAGCAGAGCCCTGCACGCCTGCAGCTGCCCCTTGGGCTCCTGCCAGAGGACCCAGGGTCCAAGGCCGAGGGGAGGCCACGTGTGAGGGAGCACCACCCACAGCAAGACCCCCCAGGGGAACCCGCAGCCCCGCAGGTAGCAGGCTACTCACCTCATACGTGCTGGAGTTGTCAAAGTTCAGCTGGGCGAGGGAGGTGTGGTAGTGATAAGGCATATCTGTCCGGCGGCTGAAGAAGACCAAGGCGCTGGCCTCGTTGGCCAGGGGCCGCATGAACACTTCAATGTGGGATTTCTCCTGGGCACAGAACGTGGCTACCGGCTGGCCTCCCTGCTCAGGCAGGCCCTGAAATCCCCACCCTCGTCCTCCTTTGAGCTCCGGGTCTCCCCAGCCTGCACTTCCATGTCATGCAGAAGTTTGAGGGGATACCCCGGCCCTCCAGCACCCCAACTTATTCTTGCCTGACTCAGCAGATGCTCCCTGACACCTCCTGTGTGCCAGGCCCCATGCTAGAACACAGAGACAAATGCTGTATGAGGTCCTGTCCCAGAGAGCTCGTAGGATAAGGGGAGGGATAGACGTGGGCAGCTGCTGGCGCTGGAGTGGAGGGCGCTGTCCAGTAAGAGCGATGAACTCTGCCCTGAGCAGCCAGGAGGGTGAAGCCCCACCTTCCAGAAGGTCCCTGGGCCTGGTCCCACCATAAGCCCCTCCGGTAGGGATTAGTTACTTCCTCTGGGCATCACCAATTCTGCATGTGCCTTCTCTAAGTTGTGTGGATTTCTTTTAACTAGAGAGGTGAGAATCTGTGCAAGCTTTGAGGCTCTACTGTTGGAGTTAAGTTCTACTGTACCATTTACTAATTGTGTGGACTTGGGTTACTCAGACTCCTCAAGTCTCAGTTTCCTCATTTGTAAAACAGGGAAGGAGTATTCACCTTCTGAGAAAAGGTACCCAGAACGCCCAGTACACAGCAGGTTCTCAATAGTTAATGCTAGTCTAGTACTAGTAGTAGTTGCATTCCTTGGCTCAAACAACTCCTAAGCTCAGGAGGGAAGCCCTAGTTCTCTGCCAGCCATCACAGACGCGTGCAGAAGTCTTGTACTTCCAACCCGAGGGGCCCCACTGTCCCATGTGTATTTGTGGGGTGATGCGTCTCTTCCCCAGATCCCATGAGCTGTCCTGCTCTGGCAAAGGGGGGAATGGCTGGAGCAGCTCCCAGTAGAATCCTTGACTGAATGCAACCAGGAAGTTAGGGCTGAGCAGATTTCAGAGGCCCAGCCCTCTGTGACCTCCAGGCTTGCAGCCTTGTTCTCAGGGGAGCCCAGTCCCTTGGCCTCGCCTTCCCTCTCCCCACACCCCAGTACCTTGAGAATCCTGCGTCCCTGGATGCCCAAGGGATCCTGGTTGATTTTGATCATGAGTGGATTCTGCAGAATGTCCATGTTCTGGGCAGAGATGGTACGCAGGTCGGTGGACATGAAGAGGGGGGCTGCCAGCACCGTCCATAGGGCCATCTGGGCCCGGGCTTGCTCAAAGCTGAGGCCAAAGTTCCCTATGAGCAGCTGGGGGCAGAGAAGAGAGGAGCGTTCAGCTCTATCCTCTCCAGGGAGGTAGGCACGAGGCCCAACCCTACACATGTAGCCAAGGCAAGAGGAGATGGAGGAGGACAGTCTGTGGGGCCTGGTCTGTGAACACCATTTCCCAGCGGCGTGGCCCTGGGGTTAGTGAGCACTCTCCCTGTGAACCTCAGCTTTTTATTTCACCAAGAATATGGGGTGATAATATGTTCTGGCCACATCACAGGTTGTTCAGATGATCCAACGGGATCCCCTTGCCAAAAGCGTTTATAAACTGGAACACCATCAAAAAATACAGTCAGAGTGGAAGCGGTAGGTAACCAGACCTGGACAGAGTCCCTGCTCCTGCCCCTAGCCACCCACCTGCCCTAGCCACAGGTGACAGGACCAAGGGCGACTTCCTGACCCCAGGGCAACCAGTCCACAGACTGGACACAAACAATCACTGTTAACGCAACATGGTTACGTACTTAGTGATACCGATTGAACAATCATCGTGTGCGCGCCAAACTATGCCGAGCATTTTAAAGGATCATCCATTTCAGTACTCAGCAACCATATATGAGGTAGCTACTCTTCTCATTTTCCAATTGACAAAACTGAAGCAGCACAGAAAAAATTAAGTCACTTTCCCAAGGATAAGTGGCAGAGCAGGAACTAAAACTCCAAAGCAGGCCAATTTGTTTCTCCAGGCGTCTATCTGGCCTATGTAATAATAATATGTACAACAATGTAATTGTGATAATCATCACTGGTAGTAAATGCTTGTTGGAATGAAGAGACAGCTATAAAGTCATTAAGATAAATTGCAAAAAAAATCTAAGTCACCAGGGCTCTGAGTGAGGCAGGTACGAGGGGCCCACTCTGCCCATAGAGGCTCCACAGGAGGGTACCAGGGCACAGGGCAGGGCAGTCTAGGGAGGGAATGGCAAGAGTGTGTGGACTTTTCATGATCTTCACCTTCCAGAGGACTAATGTCACACAAGAGTCACTACAGACCAAGTTCTCGGTTTCAAGGAACATCAGAACTGCCTGGGAAGATGGTTAACAATGGGCATTGCGAGGCCCTCTTCGAACATTCTGATCCAAGAGGTGGGGGTGGGGGTGGGGCCCTGGGATCAGATGGGTAAACAAGTCTAACGCAGCTGGTTCAAGGACACGTTTTAGAGACACTGATCTAGAACCTGGCGGTGAGCATCCAGGAAGACAGCACAGGGCAGTGGGGAGCAGGTCTGTCGTGGCCATCCCCCTCCATGCTGGTACCATGTCTGGGTCGTTCCAGTGCCCAGGGCCTGCCACCGGCTGCAGGATGTCCTGGTTGTCCACAAACCAGCTCAGGATGGAGAGCACGCTACCCCAGGAGTCCTGGATGTCATCATAGTTGCGCCAGAGGTTGCAGATTTCTGCCAGCAGAGTGTAGTTCACCTGGGTGTTGGGGGAAGGCAGAGTCCAGCACCAGAGTCACGCCCTGCCGCCTGGAAGCGGGCATAGGGGCTGAGGAGCCTCAGCAGGAGACACGGAGGGCAGGGGAGGGGGAGTGGGGAGAGAACAGGCCCTGAGCCGGATTAGGATGAGGAAGGCGTCCCCTGCCCTCTCATGCCACCTGGGGCCAAGCCCAGGGTATGGGCCCAGACTGGTGTACCCACAACCCTCCCCATCGCACTCCCACCCCTGTATTCTCTCAGTGAGTCCCACCATCTGCCAGCACTCTCCCTCTGGTCTGATCCCACCCTTTCTAGTGTCCTAGGTGCTGAAGGGCCCCTGGGGAGGCTCAGCCCCACCTGCCTGGCCTCACCAGCCTTCTGGACCTCCTGGCCCACTCAGTACAACCAGGATTCTGCCCACTTGCTGGATGATGTATGTCAGCCCGTGACATGTGGTTCCTATGCCTTGGACGCCCATCCCTTCAGCCCACCTCACAAGTGTCTCTATTCTCTAGACCCAGGGCTGGCTGAGGCCCCCCCAGGGTACTTATAACCCTCTCCTAGACCCACAAATCAGCACATGGGCAACTATGATGAGAGCAGCCCTGTCTGCACAGGAGGCAAGGAAGCTTGGGTGTGGGGCGCACTGCCAGGCAGGTGCACAGAATGGCTTACCTTTGGGGGAAGGCCCCCTTCATAGGCTGGCCAACTGCAGGAGAAGGCAATGGGGCGGCCTGTGGCATTCAGGGCAGCTGCCATCTTGGGGTACCCTGGAGAAGCCCAACCCCCACACCTTAGGACTGAGGAGGCTCAGGAGGAAATCTGAGGCCTCAGCCCAAACCTCCCACCAAATGTGAGGAAACTGAGACTCAAAAGAGGAGGTGCATCCCCCTGTACCCAGAGCTGCACACATTTCCTTGGTGGGGCATGGTGCCAACCCATCTGTCGGAAGCCTGGGAGGCAAGAATCCCCCCAGCCTCTGGGTGCAGGGAATTGGGAAATACTACCCCCTAGAGGCCATATGGACAGAGGAGCTCAAGTTCAGCCAGGTGGGCACCTGTGAGCTTTCCATGGCAGCCCCTCCCCATCTACCTGATGGTCCCCAGCCAGCTCTAGGACCCACCCTTGGCCCGTTCCTCAGGGGTCGAAAAGCAGCCATCCAACTTCAGCATGTCCACCTTCCACTCGGCAAAGGTTTGAGCGTCCTGAATCACCTTGTCTAGCGTGGTGCCTGGGTAGCCCATACAGGTGAAGTTGCCCATGTCCCCGTAGATGCCCAGCTTCAGGCCCAGGGAGTGAGCCTGTGGAGGGTTGAGGACACCATAGGCTCAGGCGGGGAGCCACCTCACAGGCACATCTGACCGGGCCCCATTATAAAACTATCAACGGCTCCCCACTGTCCAAAGGAAAGGGTCTCAGTTTGCCAGCCTGGCCTCTGCTAACCATGGTCCTTCTCCTCACTCCCAACACACACCTCCCATTGGCAGTTTCTGGCTTCTAGGCCTTGCTTCTGCCATCCCCTCTGGCTTAAATACCATTTCTCTTGTATCAGCTCAAGAATTGTCTCCTCTGGCGAATCTGAAATCCCAGGCTGGATAAGATGCCTCTCCTGGCTCTTACCCACCACAGTGGGCCCAAATGAGCTGTTCATTTATCTGTTTCCCCCAACAGACTGTGAGTTCTTAAGCAGGGATTGTGGAAATGAACCCTAAATGAAGTGGTGGCTGTGGGGGGGTGTGTGGTGTGGACCCCCACCTAAAGGGCAGGGCTGGGGTGGGGCTCACATAGTCAGCCAGGAAGGCAATGCCGTTGGGGAAGCGCTTGGGGTCGGGTACCAGGCGGCCTTTAGCGTCACGCCCACCAATCCAGCAGTCGTCGATGTTAAGGTATGTGTAGCCTAGGTCCCGCCATCCATCCTGTGCCAGGTGGTCGGCCATCTCCATGAAGAGCCGCTCACTGGTGATAGGCAGGGGATGGGGCAGCTCAGTCACTGCCCACCCCCTTCTTAAGAGCTTTTCAGACTTCTCAGATAATCTGAGTGTGAATCCAGGCTATAAGAACCATAATCATGGTGGAATGAAAGGAGTGGCTGGGCCCCCAGGCTTGCAAGACTGAGCCAGCCTGGCTTTCACAGTTATCTTTCAGTGACCTCTGGGTCTGGGTCCACCATCATGCCCCTGCCCCACAGGCCTGACAGTTCCCAGAGAGGCCCCAAGCAGGTCACAGGCTGTCTGAGATGTCCCAAAAGTCACCTCCGGCTGCATTCTCTCTGGAATGGGGTGCTCTGACCCTGCCCTCTTTTCTAGCTGACCCTCCACTCTCTGCCCCCACTCTGCTGGGTCTTGAGCAAGGCTTGTGAGGTGGCGGGCCTTCCTCACCTGATGCAGTTCTTTGGGTCCTCGTCACAGTTGATGTTGCAGCGAAAGCGTTCCCAGGCCAGCCAGCCCATGGGTGGCTTCTGCAGAAGCCCATTCTCTAGCATCAGCACCTGGGCCACCAGGACCAGCAAGACCACTGCAGGGGGATTGGAAGGATGACTGTCAGCAGCTCCCATAGCCCCAGCCCTGACGCCACCCCATCCCAATGCTGTTCGGCTCTGCAGAGGCCCTGACGCCACCCCATCCCAATGCTGTTCGGCTCTGCAGAGGCCACTGGCCTTCACCTTAGGGGAACCAGACTCCTGGGCTTAAGGTAGAACTTAAGGTAGAACTCTTCCTGCAACTGCTGGCCCCTGCAATCTTAGGGAGGGGGCTCACGGTGCCTGGGGCAGGGCAGTGCGTTTGAGGCCTGAGTCCCCACTTGCTGTCCCCACAGCAGTGCTGGAATTCGTAAAAACTCACGCCTGAGGTTGCATCCTTTCTATACCCCGACCAGCTCCCCCCATATACACAGAACTTGATAGAACACGGTAGTCAGACTCCGGGTCTCCCATCCAGAGCTCTCCACCACAGACCCGCCCCAAGAGGCCTCAGAAGGACTTAAGGGGTCAGCCAGCTTGGACCTGCACCTAGCCAGCCCACCTGGGTGAACCCTTGCCCCTCAGGCCTGTTTCCTTATCTATAAGATAAAGTTACTGTACTGACCTAACAGGGCTGCTCTCTGCCATGTTGATAACACATAAAATAGGACCTCTGCACTTTGAGGGAGAGAGGACATGAAAGGAAGAGGCCTCTTTGGAGGGAAACTGATTCCTACGTGGGGAGGATCTCCTTTCTGGCCCAGCTCCAAGAATGAGAGAGGAACATGTCTCCCCACATACCCACATCAGGGAAGGAGGCCCAGACACCAGAGGGCTGGAACTTCCTCCAGGTAGCCCCTACCCCCAACGGGTCACCTACCCGCCCCAAACCACCCCCACCCGCGTAGATACCTGTCTTCAGCAACATTGCTCTGGACTCAGCGTCTCAGACCTGACCAGATCTGCTCTGCTTTTACCAGCTTTATACGTTGGACTTTGGAAGCTATGAAACGTTAGAAAAGCACTGAGGTCACTACTGCGTCGCTAGCTCCGCCGCCCTCAGCCTTGGGCGTGGACCCCCCACTCCGTCCCGAAGCCGCCCTCATTGCCCACCACTCCCGGCCCCCAGCCATCACTTCCCCGAGCCTGGGGAGGCCTCAGAAATACTGAACAAGGGGTCTTAGACGTTAGACCCCACCCTCTCTGTAGTGCTGGGAACCCCGAGCGCCCACGGGCGGTCTTCCGCCGGGCCGGGGCCACAAAAAGGCAGCGATCGCCTCTGGGACGCCGGGGAAGAACTGAGGCGTCGGGCTGGGACCAGGCTTCGGACTCCCACCGGGTCTGGGTTGCCCCCGGCCCCCAATGACCGCAGCCCAGCAGCCCCAGAGCGGGGTCCCTCCCCCAGAGTGCCCCACTCACGGAACTCACCCTGCGGACGCCCACAGAACGCCACCCGCCTTCGCCTCTGCCTCTGAGGCAGCCGACCAATGCTGTAACCCGATTGGCCCACTGCGTTCCAGAGGGGCGGAGCCTGACGGCGGCACGCCTTCCCCGGCGGAACCTATCAGAATCCCTATAGCAACGTCATGTCCCGCCCCCTGTGGGCTCAATAAGCCCTCCCCCGAACCTCCCAAAGCCCCGCCCCCTTCGAGCTCCGGCTCTGAGCCCACCCCCGGCGGGCACCAGCCGAGCGGGTTTAAGAACTGGCTGACCTGGGTACCACGGCTCCCGCAGAGGGTAGTCCTTTCACCTCTGCGGGGTCCCTGAAGGCAAGCGTAGTGCCCGGCACAATGTAGACGCTTAGTAAATAGTATGGCGTGAATATCTGCTTTATTAAAAGGAAGTGAGGAAATGCCATGAAGCACGACCCAAAATAAGCCACTCAAAAACGGTAGTCGAGGGCGCCTGGGCGGCTCAGTTGGTTAAGTGACTGCCTTCGGCTCAGGTCATGATCCTGGAGTCCCTGGATCGAGTCCCGCATCGGGCTCCCTGCTTGGCGGGGAGTCTGCTTCTCCCTCTGACCCTCCCCCCTCTCATGTGCTCGCTCTCTCTCATTCTCTCTCTCTCAAATAAATAAATAAA